CTTCACAACTTTGCTTGTTTCACCATTAATTTTGATGATGTTGCAAAGCTTTTGAATATGAGTGATTGGACACGTACGGTCTTGGTAAATTTGATTGATTCTTTACTTTGGTTGGTTTTGTAGCATTGTGTGTACAGTCAGTAGGTGTTAATGTGATTGTCCTTAAGGTCGGACAATTGAGTGTGAAGAAAATGTGTGCAATTTATCCGGAATTTCTGCCAGAATTTTTGCTAATGTCATTCTCCTGAATCCCCTTGAGGAACACAGCTTACATTGTAATTGAATTGCTACCTTTGGCACGCAATTGAAGTCATTCCACGAGGTTGTTTTTGATTGAGGGGTAGTGTTGCAATGTTGTCATCAGGTTCACCGTCGGAGTTTCAGTAGAGATAGTGGATGAGGTCAACCGATGCTTCCGAGATATTGATGTGAATTTAGGCTGCAGATTTAGTGATGTATTATATCATGAGAAGTTCGCATCATTCTAGGTTTACGTCCAAAAATTAGTATTTTAGGTTGTCACGATTTGTTCCAAAGGTGAAGGTTCATTACTCGACTCAATTGCAGTGGTAATGAATTCTGTTCGATATGATAAAATCCGAGCTGGTGGATGAGTTCTATCGTCCCATTGAATCTTTTCTACAAGGATGGAAGACATGCACATCTTACCAAAGTGAACTTGCTCGTCACAAGGTCTTCTAAATTTGTGAATTTAGAAACACCGCAACCACGACATACATTGAAGGCTGCTGAAATCATTACACCGCCACCCATTGACTATGATTTACATGTAAGCAACGTTTTCATTATTTTTTCTTCACATCGCTAGTTTTTTCGGTCTAAAGCAGAAGTCTTTTTGGTCTCAGAAATTTTGGTATCATGATTTTGAATATCTGAAGACAGTTCTTAGAATGCCTACTTGCTATTCTAGGATTCCGGCCTCCTGATGAGATTATATGATAGAGCAGGCTATCTTCTCTGAAGATGAAGTTGTGGAGACTTTTCAAAACGACAAGGAGGAACTTGCAGCTGGTGGTAATGATGTTGCGGTGGAGACTCTGTTCGGAACATTGATTTTTTCCTGTTTGAAGCAGATCTTACTCATTCATGGTTAACTTAGCAATGTAAAGTACGCATTTGTGTCGAGTATCTTTCAGGGACGTTGTGCTTAAAGTTTGAAAGTGCATGCAGTAGTGGACAAGGAACTTTCCAGAATACATTGCCTTAGAAATTGATCTTTGGAATTCTGTATTGTGGGGCAGGATGCTGAGATGTCGTAAACTGGAAGAATACGGGGTATGTTTTCGTACCATTAGGATATCTCACTGACGGAATTTTTTGATGACTGCTGATGTTCCTAGTATTTAGGAAATTTAACACTTCAGCAGTAAATACAACCGCAAGGCGTGGACAGTCACTGGAGAAGACCGTATTCCTTTTCTTCATAACCAAACCACTGCCGACTTTCAAAAGTTAAAAGATGGTGACGTGGGAGCCTCTCTTTTATGCTTATTCGTATCCGTGACTGAATAATGGCTGTAAGTACGTCATTTGACTCAAGACAATGGGATGTACAAGGCTGTGATACAGTATTCGTCACATCTACAGGCAGGACAATCGATCTGGCCAAGGCGTGGGTTATGGTGTGCACTTCCATCTTTCCTTACTGTTGGGTACCAAATGACCAATATTTAGTTTCAGAGTCTTGTCATTCACAGTTTTTGATATAAACAAAGGGCTGCAACTTACAAATTTTGATGCCAGAGGTCACTTTATTTTAGTGAAATAATGTATGCTTGGATTACTAGTGCTACAATATTGGACCATTATTGTTGAAATAATGAAAGTTGAAGGATGAAGAATGAAGTTGATGGTATTATCAACTTTTTGGATTGTAGATAAATTCTATTAATCTATTTGTTTTGCCAAGCTAATGCCAATCTTTCTATTCTCTTCTCAACAAGTTAATTCACTTCACTTTTTACTTTCTTGTTTTGCTTTATATTTGTATGAAAGAATAAAGTTGTTGTTTATTCTTGAAGAGTTTTTAGATGGTTCAGATGTTAGATTATTTAATTTGGAACAAAATACAATTGTAGGTGTATATATTTTGTTGACAAAATAGACGTAGAAGATATTGCCCATAAAACTTATTATTTTACCTTAGTGGATCCCAATTCTAGTAAGGTGTGCTTCAGATTCTTCAATTTTGTCTATTAATGGTGCAAGATGTCTATGAAGATATTTACACTTATCAAAACTTACTTTGTCTATTTATGAAGGGCAAAATGATGTGTGACCTTTGATTAGGTTCTTGATACTTTGGAACTTGAGGCAATTAAAGATAAGCCTTAAGGTTCATTCATGCATTATGTGATCAATGACTCCAATATGTACATTGGTTATATAATCTTATATCTTTTGTTGTACTCAATAATATCTAGGTTGATTGATTTTACGATATCGTAGCTATTGTAGAACAAATTGTTTCATTGAATTTGTATTCTTCTTATCAACAAACATTATTTATCTTGTAGCACACCATAATCCTAAGACACATGTCTCTCTTTGATTAAGAAACCTTATATAAATGTATCAAGTATTGGTTTATAGTAAACTCTTTATTTTTTATTGAATACATTTTTATAGTAAGAGATGATTGATTAACATGGTATTAAAGTAATAATATAATAGATTTTTATTTAAAACTAATGAATAATATTATTAGAAGTATTGAATAATCTGATATAGAAGTGCATTATATATTATGTTGAATAACAAATGAGTTTTGCTTCTGTTAAAAATATCATAAGCTAACTTATTAATAATAACTAAAAGTTTAAAAAGCCATGGTAGCTTGTTAATAGAAAAAGCAAAAAAATTAATTGACTTTAGCAACTTAAGATGAAATCAATACTAAGAAAAAAAAATGAGTGGGATTTCAAAAAAAATCATATACAACTTGCTATTTATCTAACAATAGTATTAAAAACTCATTACATTGAACAAACAATGACAAAAACCAAGAATATAGCATTATCAAGTATATAATTCTAAGTAGCTTATAACTTACTTGATTTTGTTGTAAAATTTATAAATCTAGTACTTGAAAAGATCTATATCAAAAATTTGTACCCAATATCCAATTATATCTTTTAATGCTGAATAATCAATTATATAAACTAAAGATGCTAAAAAAAGGCTTGATGGAAGAATATATCAATAAAGTAATAAATATTAAAAACCAACTTCTATCCAAGGAGAAACCTGTTCATGACAAAAGCATCTATCAACTTCTACTCAATTCTTTATTACAGAAGTTTTTAAGATGTATTTCAAACCTTAAACACTATAGATACTATCTTCACATTTGATAAACTAACATCAAAGTTGCTCACCAAAGTTATAAAGGTGCTAATAGATGGTAATAATCTAAAACATGCACCAAAATGGCTTTTGCTTCCTCTACAAGTGCAATGCATGTAAATTCAAATATTGCAAGCAATTTTATCCTATGCCATGGTATACATATTCATGCAATCAAAAAACTTTCTTGTAAGATGTGATTAGTTATATATTAGTAACATAAGATGGTATTGGACATATCATTGATTGACATTGTTTTGTTTAAATTGGTCAAAATATTTTTGTATTTTTTATAATATTTATGTTTAAGATGTATATAGCAAGGTTATGTCTTTTTATTATTGTTATTATTAGATTTTTTATAAGATTATAATTATATAAAAAATATATATAATTTAATAAATTTTAATAAATATATATCGTTTTAATACATGATATTAAGTTATAATTGGTTATATTAATACTTTATTATAAAATTTTGAATGAAAATATAAAATTAAATGTTGATTAATTAATGTAAAGATTTTTGATTAAATTGACTTGAAGATAGTTAATACTAACAATGAATTTATAAAATCAAATAGTCCCTTTTTTTACAATGTATAATGCATAATAATTATTTTATTATAGAATTGGTACTTCATTATTATTTGTATCTAAGCCAAATAATTCATACACTATTAAATATAATTACATATTTTCTTTAATAATTTACAATCATCTAAATCACCACCATAATTTATATCTACACACATCATAAAGCAATAGCAAGGATCAATATTCAAATAGAAAAGCATATAATCATTCATATTTTATAAATACTTAAAAAAATTAAATATTATAATTAAATTATTTTAAAACTATTGCTAAATTTAAAATTATGATGATTATATTGACAATATCATAGTATAAATATGTTATAAGATAAGGATTTCTAACACTTAACTTGATAGAAAATTTGATGGCTATGAGATTATATCTTTTAAATAATATTTGAGACTTTATATTTATATCTTTTAATTTAGAAATAAAGTATATAATGTTATAGCTATATTAATATAGATATTATTTTATAAAAGCTTGTTAATCAATATAAATTAACTAAATAAGATAATTTTATATATTCGTAATTCATTAATATTATTATCTTTATTTTTTTAATCTATTTATCTAATAAAGACAAAACTAATATAGATTTTTTTTTAAGAGTTTGTATAAATGTTTTACAAGTTTATAATAAAAAATTATGATAATTTTTTTACATGCACATATAATAATATTTATTTTTATATATTCAAAGATCAGTTATTTTATAATAATGATTTTTGTAACAATTAGTTAGTTTTTAATGATTTTATATTATTTAATTTAAGTATTTTTTTAAAATAATATTTTAAGAATAGTTATTATTATTGTATCTCTATATATCTATATGCAATTCTTAGCATTTAATTATTGACTTATTTTAAAATATAAACTTAAACCCAAGAAAGTATGAGGTTTAATACAATATTGTATTTAATGTTTTAGAATTTTTTTTATGAATCAATATATAAATAGGATGGGCATGACATATCAAATGATTAAAGAATACAACCTCCTCCTTTGGAGAAAATTGATTCCCTGAAAAATCCTATAAGTAAACAAACAAATATATATATATATATATATATATATACCTTTTGTTATTTTTGAAAGGGGCCATTATTACAGCCACTCATTGGTTACATCTGGATCTTCAAATTAGAGGATTCGATGTGTGTCAAGAGGGCGTTAAGGGAAGACCATTTTATTGGAAGATTGGACCACATAAATACTTTGTAAAATCTTCCATTGGCCATTCCCCTTCTAAGACGCCCCCTATTCTACTTTACCCCTGTCTCCAACTGCCGGATATCTTGGGCTGAAGGATTTGAGCTTGGAGAATGCTGTTGCTACACAAGACGCTGCTCGAGATAGGTCTTGCACTAACGGAAACACTGAGATGTCGTTCCTAAGCATCATCACAATCTGAGACAGGGTAGGCCGCTCGGCAGGATTGTACCTGGTGCAATACCTCGCAATTCTCAAAATTCTACTGAGCTGCTCACGGTTGAAGCTTGCGTCCTCTAAGAATTTAGGGTCGTAAATATCCTCGTCTTTGGCCTGAATCACCAGCTGCGGTATTGGCAAAGTTTTTAAGCCGGCTGCAAGCACAAACAGCACAACCCCAAAGCTGTAGACGTCGATTTTCGTGCTCCTGATCTTGGAATCTCGAAAATGAGGATCTATGTAACCCGTCGTGCCATGAAATTGTCTTGTCTCGACCTGATCGAGGTTGTCCTCCATGAATTTGGCAGATCCGAAGTCCGCGATGTACGCATGCATTGTTTCGACGTCGAACAGGATGTTTCCGAGTTTGATGTCGTGGTGCACGAGCTTCTGCAACAATCCATCATGCAAATATGCCAAACCCTCCGCAACCCCCACAGCAATTTTAAAGCGTGCCTCCCAGTTCAGCCACTTCAGGTCCGGATCCTCCAGATGCTTCGCAAGGCTTGAATGCAGCGGCGTTACCATAAGTAACGGCCGACCTTCCAGGGTGTTCAAGTCGCTCCAACCAAGGAGTTGCAACACATGCTTGTGGCGTAGCATACCAATTCGTCGAATCTCTCCTTCATCTATGGTCATGTGGCGCATCATCTTAATCGCCACAGGCCGTGATTCTCGACCATCGTGTGCCAACATCCCCTTGTAGACAGTGCCAAAGCTCCCTTCACCGATTTTGTCTGCGAAGCCATTCGAAGCTTTCTCAAGTTGTTTGTAAGAGTAAGCTACACAATCCTGGATAGAGCTGGTGCTAGGAAGAGAATCTTCTTCTTCATCTTCCAGCACTGTGTTCTCACCTGACGGTGAATAGCGAAAGTATAACCTCAGGACGTAAATGGCGACAACAGTGAGCTGAAAAAATACGATCAAGACAACTGCCAGGCTAATTATTAGCAGCACCTGACTAAGACAGAAAATGTTAACCGAGACGGTGTTGTCTGATCTCAATGTTATAAAGACTCTGTGAGCGATATGGAATTGGCACACAACCTTAGAACAAGAGTCAGACAAAGTCTCAGGTATACTTGTGTCTTCCGGGAGTTGGTATGTGCTTGAGCAAGAGGCTGCATGAACCACTATACTAAGAAATGATTTACGGATACCTCCTTCGGAAAAGGTTTCCAGAACAATTGCAAGGGATATGCATCCTGCCAGCAGAGCGGCCACAACTATCCACCGCTTCTTGCCAGGTAAAACTCTGTTCACCGTCTCCCTACCCCGAGATTGCATCAACCTAATGGCTCTCATGTTCACCATTGACAACACGATGGTTCCCCACTCTGGAATCCCGCTTCTTCGGAATTATCTGCAAATTGCACCCACTTAATCGGCGTGACGGTAACCACCAAGCACGTGCACTACCATGCTCTCCAGGCAATTGTTTAACAATACTGCGGTATTGTGCAGTCCAATCACCACTTGTGGCACTTAGTGAAAAACCTGAGAGTGTGCCACGTTTCACCGCAACTAGATGTCTCGGAAAAGATTGATGTCGTATTTACATGTAGGCACATCCTGTGTGAGCCAAGACTGCGCTACTCAGATGTGCAAACAACATACTAAGCCTCCAGATGAGCACCAGTTTAGATTTCCAAAGCACTCCAACCATGCGCAACGTCGACACTACCGAGATTGGGACTGTAACAATTAGATCATATTGAAAAGTATTCTACAAAACAAGCGTACGTCCTGTGAGGTATGCGAAGGATCTTCTCCAAGAACGTACATCAGCTCGCTCTTGACGCTCCTGCCAAGACCATGACACGACGGTGTTATCCGTCTCTAGAGCAGCAAAGCATTTTGAATAAAACATGTGCGGGATCACACCACAGCTCTCTAAATTCCCTTCTCTCTCACATAATAGATGATCCATACAGTCCAAACCTCCTCCAAACTTAAAAGTCCTCCAGACTCAGTCCTGTTGTATGATCCTGTCCAGCACGTTTCCGCATTTACAGTGGTATGAGATAGTTATGCTCGCTGCATGTCAAATCTTAGTCAAGACCCACATCCTGGAAATTACCATCGCCTTGTACACATCCGGAGAGTGAGGTTGTCCCATCGAATATTGCCACAGAATTTCTCGAATCCAGCACTCTTTCAAGCTCCCGATCCTCCAGCCTTCCTCGCTCGTCATCCAAAAAACGAATCTCTCCCTTTTTTCCGAAGCTTCCTCCACGTCCCATCAAAGGTTACAAATTTCTTCGAATCGTCGAAATAAAGCTCGCTTCGTCGGTTGTACATACAAAAACAGGGCATGTCCTAATCGGTAAAATCCACATCACCTCCTGTGAAGGTAAGTCAAGAGAGGGATGCCGGGGGCGCTCTTTTCAAAATGAGGATCGCCACCTCGGGGTTGGTCGTCTTCGAAAGTCCATCTGAAGCACTTTGCGGACGAGCACTACGCGGACAGCAGACGGGCCCTTCTGCACATAATTTTCCTTGCCGAGAGCGGTTGTCTCTAACCATAGCTACCGAGTTTGGATTGGAGTTAGACCAGGGCATAGCGCAGCCACAACGTCTATCTAAGTTGATAATTTTTCCATTAGTACATGTATTCAATATGTGTAACGAAGTACATCATTCAATATGTTGTAAATGTTTATCATAATATTGTTAAGATAAAAACCATATATACATAGTTACTTGAATATTCTTAATTTTTATTAAAAAGTGCAATGTTTATAAAGGTAATGTAAATCAACAATAAAATATGTACACATGTGTGTTTTAACTTTACACATAATACATATATATATATATACATACATATATAAAACATGTATGTTTCTATTATGTCTGTTTTTACCATGTATGGTTATATACTCAATAAAAAATCATAAATATAAAAAACATTATTATGTAATTTAATTTTGAAAATATATCATTATACATTTTTGATAGTAATATTTGATATTATTTATTATATTTTGAAATACAATATATATATATATATATATATATATATGTATACATGTAAAAATTATTATTATTAATTTGATGTTTATAAATTAGACAACTTTTTTAATTTATAATTTTTCTAAAGCTTTGAATATTCTTATTTATAGCATAGATAGTATTAAAGTATTCACTTGTATTATTCAAAGAAATAATCTAAAGGCTATGTTAATAAATAATACTTAATAGAAATTAATCTATATAATAAATAATGAATATTTAAATATAATTAAAATTTAGTAATTATTTAAATTTTAAAAAAAAGTATTAAATTTTTATAGATTATTATAGAGATGTATTAAGTAGTATAGATAATAATTAATATTTATTTATTGTGATTGAACTTGTTTTGGATGTATAGTACTTATTTGATATTATTTGGGCATTAAGATAGTTTTTAATTAAGTTTAATTTCCAATTCACAATTTCAATTCCATGAAGATTTTGATTTTTGAATTTGAAGATGAACAACTCTTAACTTGAAGATTACAAGAGGCATCAATTCTACCTAACCTTCCAAGATTTAGTGGATTTATCAATGAAGACTCAACAACCCACATAGAAAGGTTCATAGAAATATTTATTATTAGTTTAGTAATCAATCATGGCCACTATTTAATATGGTTTCTAACAACCTGTTATAGACATATATATTTATTTAGATAAGAAGTGCTAGGTAGAGAGTAAATATAGGTAGATTTGAAAATATCTTGTAGCAAAGCTTTGTAGAAGCTTCATAGATGCATATTTGATTTTATACATGTTTATAGTTAATTAATAGGTTAAAAACTTAGCCAACAAATTAGCCATGTATCACACATGTAAATAGCTTGTAGTACAAGCTAAAAATATGGCAAGCATATAGGAAACTTATCTTGTAAATTAATACACGTGTCTTGCAAATTAGACACATATTAGAGGTTATATAAGACATTTGCTATGTAGCTCCTAATAAAAAGCATATATTGAGGGAAGAGTGAAGTCTTCTTTACTCTTGTTAATGTCTTTTTAATCTTTAGTCTTATTTCAAGACTTTCTAGTCTTCTTGTCTTTGGCAATAGCCATTGTACTTCAACATATTAGCATCTTTGAGTGATTTTTTAATCTTTTTGAATGACATAAGAGTATATTGAGATTTTTTTTCTTTGAGATTCATGTCTTTGACAGTTTGATATGAGTCCTAACTTGTTGTCTTTGTTTTATGTTAGAAGTGAGTGAATTATGTTACTTCTATGGTTGTATTTTAAAGGTTGTAGACTATCCTCTTTTAAAATTATTTTTAATTTCTAACATTGATTATTTTTTTTGAAGAAAAAGAACTATCCATCTTTGTAGAAACTTTTATTTGATATTAGAGGTTGCACGCTATCCTCTTATAATTTGATTTTTAGATTTATTTGAATTATCTATAAAAGAAAAAAATATAGATATTATTTTTGGTAGAAGTGAGAATAGATTTATAACTATTATATATCTTCATGAATTTTTCAACACTTTGAAGGTGAAAAGCTTACGTATCTCTAATTACAACTATAAAAGTAGTATTCCAATACCTATGGAAGATGTCAACAACAAAGTTTAAAGTCTATGCCAAATAATTATACAATTGAGAGAAATAAATAAATCAATCTCATAATTAAATATAAGAAGTCTTGCATAGAAGTATGAGAAAGGTAAGGATAAGTATACTTGAAAAGTTCAATGGAATAAGAACAAAATTTTAAAGACTTCTACAAAAAATAAATTTGTATCTAAGATTGCATTCTTTTCAATACCTTGATGGATTTACTCAAGTTTGATTTGTAGGTACACTTTTCTTTAGAAGTGCTCTCTTATGGTTTGCATTTTTGATAGAAAAAGATTCACATATTTTCTATAATTTGAATTCATTCTTAAAATTATTTATAACTATTTTTAGAAAAAGTGATTGAAAAAGAGTAGCAAAGATCAAACTTATATCTTTACAAAAAGGATCACAATCAGCTATTGTTAGTGTAAAATTTACTCTTCAATCCAATTATAATATGGCCTTAATTAAGAATTTTTTTGTAATAGGTGGTGTGAAGTAGAAGTAGCAAGAATAAGAAAAAAAGAAGCAAAATACAAAATAAGTGAAACAAGTGCAATTAAGCAATTGTACATTATAAAACTAGTCATAGTTTGTTTATTGAGTTTTTATCTAATAAAAAATAAAAATTAAAAGTAAAAAAATATTTTAAGAAGATAATTTCTTTATCTTTTCAATATTATAAGAAACATGTAAATTCAAGTTACTATGATTAAGTTATAAAGGTTTAAAAAATAACAAGTAAATAAATAAAAAATTAAGTAAATAATTTTTATTTCAAGGATGACATACTTAAGAGATCAAGAGTTCGAGCCTCACCAAGGCTCATAAGTAGTATATATGGATTTCTAAGAGAGGCCACGATGTCTTAGTCTTATCTTCCTAACTACCTTCAAGGTGCTACAATCCATAGGAGACTTGTGCACCTCCTTTCTTACAAGGACTATACTAGCTGTTAGTCTTCTTATTTTCTATTAGTAAAATTAATATTTTTATATTTTTGACTTCATCATAGTATTTTAAAAAATCCAATTAACCTGAGAGCCTTCAATGGCTTTCAAATTTTATTCCATTTTTTCATAATGGCTTTCAAAGTGGTAAAATATTATTTTTATCAAAGTCTTGGAAATCGCTCTAAAAATTCCTAAATAATTCTACATAAATTCTAAAATTCTTTTAATTGTTTTATAATGATAAAATAAATTTAAAGCTATAATTTTCTATCTTGATGATTTTTTATAGTAATAAAATAAATTTAAATCGACTATAAATCCTACTTTCTATATAAATAACTAAAAAATATGAGGTTCTTTCTCATGCTTCTTCTAACTACTAACTAATATTTATAACTTTTTTATAAGTAATATATAAAGCTAAAAGGCTCATATAAATATTAAACTTAGTAAATAATCCTTAATACTCAATAATAAGTAAAAAAATACTAAATCAACTAAGATAATTACCTCCAAGACTTAATAAGATTCCAATTCTACAACTAATATTCTTATTTGTTAATTTTTTATTTGTTTAAATATTTCTATACTATTTACTAGATATTGTGGTTTTAAGCACTCTAAATGCATCTTTTTATCCTAAAACAACTAATGAATTGATTTGAAAATTTTAGCTGTTATATATGCTATAAAATTTTGAAATCTTACTTATGATGTAGATTGAAATGAAAAAGTCTATATTATCTATATTGGATATGAATTAAAAGATAATATCAAAGATTTACTATTGAAAATATTAAAAGTTAGTTCATTTAAGAAATTTATTGCTTAAGCTATTGCATGTAATAATTGATTCTTTAAAAGACTCTAGGAATAAAGATTTGATTGAAGAAGTATAAATCAAGCAATGGCAACAAGTTCTAAATTCACAAAAGTTTATTCATTAAGATCAAAATCTATACAAATTAATAGATACATTTCAAGCCTCTTATTGAGCAAGACAAAACTTAATGACATTATGTCAGGGACATGAATTTCAAAAAAAGAGAATCCTCGATACACTCTTGTGTCATTGAAGAGAACTACAAAGTCATTCAAAAGGTAATGTAATATTAACTAGAATAGCTATTGCTAAAAACAAGAAGATTAAAAAGTCTTCAAATAAGACTAAGGACTAGAGTGGTGTTGATAAGAGTGAAGAAGGCTACACTCTTGCCTCCATATATACTCTTAACTAGGAGCTACGTGGCAATGTCCTATAGGACTTCCAAAATATGTTGGCTTTGCTAGCCATATGTCTTAACTTGTAAGGTAAGTTGTCTATGTATGCGCCACATAGTTAGCTTGTTTTACAAGCTACTATGTGGAGTTAACTTCTTCCACAAGC